ATCCAGGGCTTGGTGGTCTAGTAGTATGATTCTCGCTTCGGGTGCGAGAGGTCCCGGGTTCAATTCCCGGCCAAGCCCTTTTTGCTCGGAGAATCGCTGGTAATATGATTCCAAGCCGTAGGTTTGCTTTTTCTACGTTGCTTTTATCCTAACGTTGACTTTTTTTTTGGACAGTTGTTTTCATGCGTGTGTGGTGTACCCATGATCAACATCACCCTACTGCCTTTCTGCTGTTATCGTGTCACCATGAGCAACATCATTTAGCATCCACATCCAGTCACGTAAACATGTTTGGAGGGGCTAATTGTGGCATGCAGGTTCCCGTGCCGGTCACGTTGCCCGTGTTGTGCCTTCAAAGCATTTAGTAGCACATGTCTTGAGCTCATGGGACGCAAGTGCAGTTTCGTTTGTTTCCTTTTTTGTCATTCCGGAACGTCCCTCACAGCAAACCTTTGGCGCCAGCACTGAGCAGCACCGAGGTATCCCCCAATAAAAAATGTATGATATGCTTGACATTCCTTCTTCCTGCCCACAGTCTTTCATTCCGAGGCGCCATTGCTGCACCCCTCCTGTATTAGCATGCACTGCTGCCCATCTGCCTTGCACACCTATTTTTACCCTTTCTTATTTTCTTAGGTTCATGTTCTATGAATAAGAAAAGGCGGCTCATTCGGCAGAAGAGAACCTCAGGACTTGTCATGGGTTTTGCCTCTCGCCGCCTACATCACCTCTTCAGTCATTCTGTTTTTTCTTGAATATGCCTCTTCACTTTCCCTCTTTTTCCCTCTTTGCAATCGCTATTCTTATCTCCAACACCTCTATCGACGAGAGCCAATGAATTCTCTTGCTGAGACTATACCGCATGTGGCCATTGGTGTCCGTATGCTCCTGCTCGCCCCATTCAGACAGGGTTCGCCACAAACCAAACAATCGGACTATAGCAAACAGAACCGCAACGCCTTGGTAAGTTACAGTATCGTCGGAGCAGAATCTGAAGAATGAATTGGCGCCATGACAATACCCCTTGCCTGCCGTTCGTTTTCTGGATGCTCACCAGCGCCCAGCATTTTTCTTTTTAGGAGCTGGTGATTTTTGCCACATCGCTTGCGCTTGTCGCGGAGATTGCTCATGCATGGCCAGCCCTGTCGCCAAATCTGGCCACGGCAATCCCTTTCGCCATCCGAGTTGGTGTCA